ACAGTGTGACTGAGAGCTGAGGAGCCTTGTCACCTGTCACACAGTGTGACAGAGCTGCAGTCTGCAGCTGCGCTGCTTGTGCAGTTGTGTCAGCTGTGCCCTAGGGCAGCCAGCCATGCCCCTGAAGGAGGGTGGGAGGAGGGGAAGGAGGAGCCGAGGCGTCTGCCTGGCAGGCATGCTTGCTAAGCATGCGTGATGAGCCATGTACCAGCTCTGAGTCTGTGCCTGTGTGTCCTGCACATGTGTGCATGCTGCTGATAACAGAGCTTCCTGTTGGGTGCGTTTTTCATGCGTCCTCACCACCCTTGGGGGAGGGGCAGGTGCAGTCACCATCCATGGAGGGAAACCGAGTCTAGAGAGGAGACACACTTGCCAGGGAGGCAGCTGAGCCAGGCTTTGACCTGGGCAGTCTTCAGTGGGCTTAATGTTGCTTCCTCACCCACAGGGGCTGAGGCGAACCCCAGCTGGGAACATGTCCTCTTCACAGCCTGCCACAACCAGCACCTGCAGTTGGCTCCCCCCAGCCGCAGGCTGCACTCGTGGATGGACGACTGGAAGGCCATTCTGGACAGCAAGCGGCCCTGCTGAGCCCGAGGCTGCTGCAGTCTCCTTGGAGGGACCTGAGCTGCAGGGCTGCCGTCCTGGGTCATGTGGCTTCAGGCTGGATGGGCCCCTCTGCAGACCTACTGGGCCAAGACTACTTGTTCTGCCCAGCCCTCCCTGTCCTGCTAGGCCTTAAACTGATCTCTGGGCAGGGCTGGGCCCATGAGCCTTAGGACAAAGACATGTGCGCTCCGGCAGTTCTGACTGACCGAATGCCCTCATGCTGCCAGGGGCTCCTGGTCTTGAAACAGGAAGGGACTGAGGGCCTCTGCTCAGCACAGCATCCCTCTCCCCCACCCCACAGGTAAGTTCCCGAAGGGGTCAAGGCCCGAGCACACCTGTTCCCCTCATCCTGGGCCCACAGGAGTGAGGTGATCATGGTGCTTCTTAGCTTTGCATGGTGACAAGTGGGACTGGGTGGGAGGAACTCCTACTTCTCAGCCCTGGCGGTCTTCTGCCTCCACCTACCCTCCTGCCTGGGCTTACCACCATGTGCTGTGTGGTCAGCATTATTCACTGAGTGCCAGAACCCATCAGGCTCTGTGTTTGTCGCAGGGTGGCCTCTGGCCTCACCCTGACCAGCTTCAAGGTTTTACACACCTTGGTCTCTAGACTCCATGTGGAATGAAACAAACAGTAGACAGGTTCAAAGGTTTGTTGAATGCATGAAAAATAAATGCTCTTCACATATAGCCCAAGGCTGTGGGTGGTGGCCGCCTCTGTCCCTCCACCTGCCAGCCTTAGTTACACACTTGTAACAAAGTATCTAGGTCACCCCACTGCACTGAGAAGAGATGCTGAGGAGGGCACAGTTCCACCACCCTTTTCCTGGTCTTTCTCACCTGGCCTCTGGCAGCTCAGCTCTTGTCAAAAGTCCAGATGTACCCTTTGAACTTACTTGGAAATACTCAGGGATCCCCTGAAAAGAACAGCATGGGAGAAAATACCTCTAGTCTGTCCAAACGCAGGTATTTGTGATAGGTGTGACAAGGGTTACAGAGCAGATGTGTAAGAAGTTACCTGTGCATTCCTGGGACAACCCAATTCTGATTTGAGCCCCTGTTCTTCAGAAGCACCTGTCGGTTCACGCCCACTCCCAGCTTACTCTCACCAATACCCATCTGTGCTGAGGTGCTGAGCATTGGACATGGACATGATCCTTCTTGTCGCTCCGCTGGGCTGTCCCTGTGTTTGTGGTGTCTTGTTCCTGCCCACACAGATCACTGTCCACTAGTCTCTGAGTCACGTCTTTGCGAATGAGGTCTTTGACACTGGCCACGTGACCATTCCTGTGCCCTTTCTCCCCGTTTCCTTGGAGGAAAGATGGAATGGACACTGCAGAGCAAGGGCTGCCCAAGTTGGGGTGGGTGTTCCCAGTGTTCCTGGCATTGCTGAGGCCTTGTCTAAGGAGGGGTGAGGTGGGTTTTCAGCAGGAGCTTGCGGACTTCTGTGTGCTGAGCGCTGCCCTGGGAAATATGGCACCAATAGGACCAGCATGGAGTACATTTGTTGTGGGCATAGTGAAGGAAGCTTTCCTGACTTCATAACCCCAGCCTCTTTTGCTCCTAGCTGTTCCATGAAAGGAGACATCTCCAGGCTCTGAGTCTTCTGGGAAGTCCACCCCCATGGGGCTTTCAGGTCAGAGGAGTAAGGCGTGTGAAGGAAGTACTCAGAAGCGTTAGTGCTGTTGTCGTTTTCTTTGTCACAACAGCCTCATAGTCAGTAGGGTTCCTACTTGGAGGATGAGGAGATGGCTCAGAGTGATTTCAGTAACTTTCCGAGGCCACACTGGAAGCAGTGAAACTAGGCTTCAAACCCAGGACATTCTCAAATCATGTTGTATAGGAAGCTGCCCTTTTAGCCACAGACAGAATTTTGCATGCAAATACAGTATGTAAAAGACGTAAACCAGATCTTGGGGCCCTGAACTAACATTCCATGCAGGAGACCTGTGAGCATGCCCAGCCACCACCTGACCTGCCAGTGGAGGCTTCAGCAGAACTTCAGACTAAGGTGGGCTGGGAATAAAGGACTGGTGATGTGTTTCTGAAAACCAGCCTGCGAAAACCAGATGGATGAAGAGTCCCATCTGTGATGGCACAAGACCAGGCTGCACTAAGCGTCATTGTGGATGGGCTCCTCTCGAATCGGAGTGCACAGCAGCATGGGATATAAATCTAGGACCGTATTTCTTACAAGGGACTTACCGTCTTACTGGGTTACAGTACCTCTGCCACTGTGAATCTCACTCTGTTCTTTCAAACAGGCTAAATGAAAAGGAAGCTGGCCCTGGTCACTGGTGTACCTTATTAAATTCAGGCTGTACGAGTAGCCACCATATCCCAGCAGCCTATGTTTTTAACCTTGGGCAAGTGTCCCGAGTCCCTCAGTAGAACAGGACCAACCTAACAGCTGCTTCTCTGCTACATAACAAGGTCACCAGCCTCCTCAGTTCAGGACTCCTTACTGCCCTGCATCCTATCTCCTTCGCGGGTCTCACAGCTATGGACCTGTCACTGCATCACTGGGAAACCAGACTCTCCCTTGCTAGTGTCAGAAACTCATACCCAAAGCTCATGACTATCTTGTTAAAAGTCTAGATTAGCCCCCTGTGAACATACCGGAAGTATTCAGGACTGAGTTAAGTGCTGTCAGGTCCATGTTAACTCAAGGAGCAGCTGGTGGGTTTGAACTGCCGACCTTGTGGTTTGAAGGGGTCCATTCAGGTCTGAAAGGAGCAGCGGATAAGATGATGTCTTAAAATTGGAGAGAATTTGCCATCTGTTTGAGACATAGCTGGCAGATGGGTCAGATAGTGATCCAGGATTCTCTGTCTTTATGTCCTACTGGCTTCTAGTCCTGATTTCCTATGGCTTAGACTCCCCAAATGACAAGAGTAACTGGTGCCAATGTCTCCACACCCTTGAAGAGAGAATTAAATAAGGCAGATAGAATGAATCAGCATGTTCACGTAAATGGCAAGTGCTCCAAAGTGCCTAGTATAGTGATGGTAACGTTAACAAGTCTAATGGCAGCATCATGATTATCTGCATTTTACCATGAAAAGTTCAGAGAGTCTGCATGGTGTAACCTAGTCACAGTAGAACTCTGGGTATATATGAGTTCCACACAGGGCCCTGGAGGACAGACTCGGGAACTAATGTCCAAAATGTATAAAGTCTAAATGCATGAGTGCAGGATTGGGGTGTGGCCCTGATTCAAGCTACCATTCACAAGCCCATGAGGTATATGTGCATGGTTGGAAAGAGCTTGGCAGTGGCCACAACAGCACGTGAAATTGGAGGGGTCATGGCATCAGATGCAGGATGTTGCCAGCATCACTTTTGATTCATCTCAGCCATCAGAGTTCGTGGTTTGATTCTTACATGGTGTGCCAGTACATGGTGTGCCAGATTCTCTCCTGTCCTCACCCTGCCTTTGACTCCCTGCAAAGGCACCTGAGTGCTAGGAAGGCGGTGGCTGTTCCCCTCCTTGTGCAGAATGGAGATGGCCAGTGCCCACCTCCAGGACCACTCAAGGGCTGCATGAGTAGTGGACCAGGAAGGTCTCTTAAGTATGTTGTCACCAGCAAGAGGTTTTTTGTTTTAAATTGAGTGTATTTACAGTGTTTGCTTTGTAGAGTACCTGGCGTATAGAAAACGCTCAGAAGGTGGTTATGGGGAAGGATGAGGAAGGCAAAAGTGAAGCTGCTGTGGGTAATTGTGGGTTTCTGTCTCTTACCATGTGAAAGTGGAATTCTTCAGAGGACCTGGCCTGGGTTGTATAGGATAGAAAGTTTATTTCTTCACTTTTCTGGGTTGTAGCTCCCCCCATTAATTGGTACCAATTCCAATATAAAAACAAAGGAGTATTGGTTGAGCCCTGGCCACTTTGTGGTAAGTTCTTGTCATTGCTTCTTAACTACCCTGTCCGTGTAAATCTTTGTGAGAGCAGAAAGTCTCACCAATTTCCCGAGGAGCAGCTGGTGACTAAACTGCAAAACTTGTAGTTAGCAGTGCAATGCGTTACATTTCTGACTCGTAGCAACCCTGTATAGGGTTTCTGAGGAGCAGCTGGTGAGCTTGAACCACCGACCTTGCAGTTCAAACCAATTTTTCAGTCTGGCACATTAACCCACACCAGGGCACTTTGTAAATCCTCCTAGTGCCACAATTGACCAACTTTTGCATTCCTGCCATCCCCATTGCCCCAAATTGAGACTTCCAGGCAGGTATTGTCTAGAACAGGAAGTTCACAGGGTAAAGAAGAAAGGATGTGACCTGGGCAAAGTCCACTAGATAGAAAGTAGCCAGGAGGACAGATGTGAGGTCACAGGGTTAGAGTCAGGATGAGCCAGGTCCCTGGAAAGGAAGTTCTTCCCACACCCACTGCTGGGTCAGGCCAAAGGTTTGTGTGTATGTGTGTGTTGGGGGTGGGGGGATGGGGGGTGAGAAAGGTGATGGAAACACCAGTAGAAATTGTAAGTCATTTGAGGTAGACTGACAACATGTAACTTGTACCACATAGCATGGGAGTGGTGGAGCCAGGGTTCTGAGGTAGGTCCCAAGCTTCCTTCCTCCTCCTCCCCTCCTGAAAAGGAAAGACTTCCAGAGCTTTTGCAGATTATGGAGATGATTTATAAGATGGGAGAGATGTTAGGCAGTTTTGGTAGGCCAACCCCAAAGGTGGGCAGCAGGGTGGGGGAAGGATCCTGGGAACAGGCTGTAGTCTGCAGTCAGAAGGGTGCTACAGCTAGACCAGGGGATCCAAGACTGGTGGGAGACAAGGCCTTACCTCTACTCCATGGTCACCACCATTCCTTACTGCAGGCACTCAGCAGTAGGGGCAGGAGGCACAGAGACACCCTGAAACCATCCTGGGGAGCCTTCCTCCCATGTGGGGGAGATACCTATGGATCCAGGTGTTGCCTTAGTGGGAAGGGGAGGAAATAACCACAGCAAAGACACTGCTGGGAAGAGGCACTA